TTTGCGGGTTTCTATTCTTATCTTCTTCTTCTTCTTCTTCGCTCTCTCTCTCTCTCTCTTTCTTTTTTTTTTTTATTTTATTTTTGCACATACGAAACATGCTGCTTACTCAGTCCATACTTATATCGGACGAGCAAAGTCCGGATTATCGACGTAACAGCTGGGGTTGGATGGATGGAACAGCAATGCAACGCAATACAACTGGAGCAGCCGGGATGGGATGGATACTGAAAGGACGGCAAGAGGGTTCTCTCAGGGCTATGGACGAATGGGCAGGAGGAACCGGTGGAGTGAATCCGATTGTTCGTCTCCAACCTCCGTACACGTAGCGTTGCCCTAAAATCATGTCCCAAGTCAGCATCCACAACCGCATCCACAGGGCTGGTGCAAGGTCGGTGTGTTAGGCGGTCTGTTTACACCAGAAAAAATAAACAAACAGCACGCGAAGGGTGGGAAAATTACCCCCAAGACCTCCCTCCCCTCCCGCCCTTCTTCCAAGAACCACCATGTCCGGTCGTTGTTGGCGTTGGCTCGGGTACACCGCCCTCAAGCCCTTGTTTTCTTGTCTCTCAACGGAGTATCCGTAGTCAGTCGGCAACTTAGCTTGACTCTTAGCGGAACTCAAGCTCGCGAAGGTCAAGAAGCTTTTGGCCGGACACAGTATGGAGTAGCGTGCTCAGATATCGGTGAGCAGTTGCCTACAGGGACAATCCCATCTCAGTCTTGCCCTCGCCCTTCGGGCCAGTTGACGGTAGATCGATCGGACGGGTGGTTGGCGATAGTCTCATGGCCACCCGACGCCTCTTCCCTGACTGTTTTTCTTTTCCTCTCTGGTTTCTTTTTCCATTTTCTGGGGTCGTGCCGTCGATAGTCGGACTCGTACCTTTCATCAGACAGGTCGGAGCAAAAAGATGTAGAAGTCTCTTATTTTTATTTTTATGTTTATTTTTCCTTTGATTGTCTTAATAAAAGTACGGAGTACTCCGCAGAAATCTGACTTGGTGGTCCTCTTTATAACAGCACTTTAGCCGACGAAGCTGAGCAAAGAGCACTGCACGGGAGATGGAAGTACTTCATAACGGAGTAGTCTAGGGTCGAAGCCCGCGCCTAGTCACTCTTAGATCGTCCAGACTTGCCTGAACCGCCATGAAGGAGTACAAGTAAACCCATAGCGTCAGAAGACAAAACCCTTAATCTTCAATAGACTCTTGCAAATCACCATTGACGGTTCCAGCTGCCTTCCCCTTCGACCCAGCCACGAGCCTTCTTTCCCCCCGCCTCCTCCTCGTCCTCCTTCTCCCCTCCTCCAGAGAGACCTCCATTCCGAACTATATCACTTTCACCGTCAATCAGCGGTATTAGTCCAGTTTCACATCTTTCACCCCCAGGATCATGCAAGCAATGCAGTGTTGCCATCAATCGACCCGCTTACTCCTGCAGCAGAATATCACGAAAGGTGGCGGATGTGCTAGGGCAGATAGATAGACCCTCTGAGATCAAAATGTGAGATAACGTTGACGCGGGCTGATAGCAGGTCTAGATACCGTCCACGACCTGGTCCTGGACCACGTCGTGGAGAACGGGGCCTGCAGCTGCATGGCCTGGTGTAATGCAATGCCATAGAGATAATGCGCTTGTAGCATGCATTCCAACTTCGCGGGTGGCGCTTCCCTTTTTGTTTTTTTGGCTTCGCCTGTAACTAGCTGGTCAAAGCAGGCCAGCCTTTTCTACGGCCTTCAAAGCCCGTTCATCGTCTCTCGTCTGTGAGAGTCGACATACACGCATACACGGCTGAGTAACTAGTTATGGACGGCGTTCTCTGTCCCTGAGGCAATTGGCACGAGCGTAGTACCGCATGTTTTGAGTGAGATGGGTACTCGGTTGTATCGTCTGGCCTTGCTTCTGGGCGCTGGCATTGATTGTTCCTCTGGAAACAGAGGAGGGGGGTATCTTCGATGCCACCAGGTAAACAAGAGCCCTTGGCTTCACTGCACCGTCCCGAACAGAGTCCTCTGTGCTCTGTGCTTCGTAACTCTGTGCGCAGGCTAGCCCAGCAGCTGGGAATATACAGGGAACGGCAGACAGAATCGAAAGATACCAGGCCCTCTACTCCGTAATTAGCTGTGACGCTCAGGAACCAGAGCAGTGGTCCGTATCGTGGGCTTTTGAGCAGCTCTCCAGCTGTTGCCATGGCATGCAACAGCCCGTCCAGGAGACTGGCTCTCATCTCTCAGCTGTATCTAGTCGAGTGCCTTGTTGTTGAAAGTGATGATGTTGACTGGCGTTGTTGATGTTGATGCGTTGTCGTTGTCTCACGGCGAGCAAGGATCCGCCTGATGAAGTGCCAGCTCTGCCCAAAAAGGGCAATTCTCGACTTCATCTTCAACTTCATCTCTATCTCTCTGTGAAAACGGCCAAAACAACCCAAGGAACTACGGAATTCTCTCCTCTCTACGGAGTATAGTCTTCACGATGGACCGTCTCTCTGACGAATTGCTCCTGCGCATCTTCCGCCTAGCCGCTGACTTCCCCCTTGGTGATGGTGATGACCGTTTGAGCACGTAAGCACGTACGCCGGCGTCTCTCGAAGATGGCAGGCCATCACGGAGACGGAAAACTTCAGTGCTTGCTCTCTAAGCGATGGTGAGATAGGCCGTTTTGCAGAGATGCTGCGCCGCGTCCCTGCTAGACGTAAAGCGCTTCGGAAGGTCCATTTCATGGTAGTAGACCTCGGTGAACCGGAAGTACACGTGAGTTGGGATGATGATTGCTACGACGGTGAAGATGAGGCAGAGGAGAGCTCAGTCTTCACCGTGGCGGTATTCCAGCTGTTCGATGCTCTGGGCCAGGGGGACACAAGCACCTATGCGCCGCTAAGTTTGGTGTTTGACATCGACACCGAAACGCATCTGAACGGCTATGGCGAGCGTTGCTTGAGGCTTGTTTCCCTCCATGGGGATCAGAGGGCTCTATCAACTCTTCACAATGTGGTCTTAATCTCAATTGCACACCCGAGTCGAAAGGTCCATCCTGCTGCAATGGCAACGATATTGGCAGCTTTGTCCAGTGTAAAGACCGTTGATATACCATTTGAATCCAAAGGTCCCCAGTCCAAAACATTGCGACTGTCAAGGACCCCGCGTATCCACGGTATGTATACTGAAAACTACCGCTTTTAAAATTATACCAGCTATATCAAGACTAACAAAGCTATTAAGCCATCCACAAATTGTTGGAGACATCCAGCTTTTCTGCGTTACAAAAACTAGCACTAAATTAACTCGTGGTCATCTCCCTTAGCCGGGATAAATCGAGCTCTCCATAAGCTCTCCCAGACTGCTCCTCTAGTCACTCTGTAACTTGTTGGGGACTGGTTTCTATACCCAGCACTATTCTGGCTTCTAAGCACGTCTGATTCCGCTGGGAAGCCATTCTGGCCAACCCTGCAGACCGTCCATATCAGAGTCAACACCAAGCTTCCGCACAAAATTGTACGTTAACCTCACCATATAAAAATACTAATTACCAGATGAATCATCAGTGCTAATAAATCTAATGGTAGCTTTGACTTTTTCAAGTATGACGAAGGCCGCAGCTATGGAGGGGACATGTCCCAAGCCCCAGTAGAACCTAAGGCATTCAATCTTCTTGTCTCTTCCATATCAAGGGCTGTCCTGCAAATGCCTGCTCTCTGGGTTCTGATGGTGGGAATCGGAGCACGCGGCTTTCGTGGGTTTCCTAAACTATGCTGGAACGATGGGAACCACAACATCTGGATTGAATGTCTGGATTCGGGTGAGAAATCGGCTGTCCTGCGCTACAGAGTACAAGAGATGGACCGCAGCCAGATAGATAACGAGGAGAGGGTCCAATCGTCGCGACGGTGGAGAGTCTGGCTTGGGGGCGACCTTATCCCAGCAGACTGGTCCCCATCCCAGGAGGTGCGCGAGTTATGGAAGCAGTTTGTTGGACCGAGTGGAATTACGAATGTGGAGGCATAGCAAAAGCTCAGCTTGCTGCTGTTCTGACGCCTCCTTACCTGCACGGGCTTCGCTGGGAGTATGGTGTGTCCTTCAGCTAACTCCTGTACAAAGACTAATGATCCAACAAAGTGAAGCAAGCTGCAAACACCGAGTGCCAGTGCGATTCTCCTTTCACCCAACTAGTTTGCTGCACCTAAAATGAGTTAACCTGCTGAAAACAAAGGCTGCAGTTGCAGTACAGTGGGAAAAAATACGGAACGCTGTAACTTGTCACATCTTTCACCATAGAACTCTGTATTACCGCCACTATGGCACCGGGTGAGCTGAGCAGCGCCCATGATATGTCTTCCATATCGTGTCTAGTGCAGCAGCTAAAGGGCCATACTTTCACTAGAACGAGTCGATAGCGATGCAGGACGACTAGCGAGCGAACGAGTCATGTGGCCCTCGTCCTTTGCTCGTCCTATTTTTCCCTCTTATCCCATCTTGCTCTCCTCGCTCGCTCTTCCACTCGACTGCTGGGCGTGTCCGTGTCTGGCGTCCGTGTCTCTCTGACAGAGCATCCGAATGGCTGACTCCTGCGGTGGCTTTCATGCTGTGGAGCGTGCGTGGTTGATCCGTTTGTTGATCTACCGTCCTCCTCTTCCTCCTCCTGTTGCTGCTGCTGCTGTCTCCTTAGGCTGCCAGACTAGCCATGTCGATATGGGCTGGTATGTCTATGCTGGAGAAAACCATAACTCACCCCATCAGCCATCAGCCATCTCAGCCCTCACACAGACATTTTGATAATTACACGCTACTGTGAAGGTACGGACGGAAGGCCCCGTGCATGCAAGATACCTGTTCCCACCCCCAGCGAGTGTCCCTGTCTGGTGGTGCTTGATGAGAACGGATGTACGGAGGAGCTCGCTTTGCTTTTTTGCAGATGCAAGCCGCCAGGATGTGATCTGCCCCCTTTCCCCTTTCTCGAAGGCAGCAGAGATGACAGGAGGAGGAGAACTGAAGAGAAACCGGCCGGCCGATAAATTCTGGCTCGCAGAGCTGCAGAAATGAAGTCTCTCTTCGGCCATCAGAAACCCTGGTTGGACGAATGGTGTTTTTTTGCACTCCATACGGAGAACTGCACTCCATCCATCATCATCCATGGATGGTATCCGCATGGACTTGCTGGTTTGAGGCCAATTTGCTCGTTATCATTGATATCCCATACGACAATCCCTCATACGCGTCCACTTGTCGGAGTAGCATGGGTTTCAACCAATGCTTGAACGGCGCGGATGCAGTGGAAACTGAACTGAGGTGTCATCGCTGCCTAAAACTCGAAGGTAGCGCGATAGGCGGCCCTGTCTCCAGATGCATCTTGCTTCTTGGTCGCGTGTAAGGCGGCTTGATATATTCGGGGATGCTGAGTGGTGAGGTATATGCAGGCCAGGCTATTTTCCAGGATATTTGACAGGCTGTTTAGCAGGTTTTTATCCCATATATGCTGCATACAGGCTATCTCCTTCCATGACTTCCGCTGGTTAATATATACTTGCATATATGCATGCATATGCAATGCAAACAAAACCACCTCCAATCAGCATACTTTTCCCCGCTGTCCAGTAGGATACTGATGTGCCCTTTCTTTCTTTACCCTCTTTTGTCTCCTGGTCGAAATTTCGATTATTACTATCTCAGCCATTGTCCTATCTTGTCACACTTGATTGTTGGTTCTGCTATGGCTGAAACGCTGCAGCAATTAATATCTATCCAAAGTAAAGGAGTTAAGATTACTATGCAAATGTATCTATAGAAATTCTATATTCTAATCTACTCTCTTCTCCTATAGATTGATGCTACCAATTGGTTAAGAATCAATACAAGATGATACCCCTTTTAGTAGGCTGCTGATGTCTGCAAGAAGCCGTAGCAGATACAAACAGCTTAAGAGGGTCAAAGAGATCCTAACTGACACCAAGACACACTGTCTTACCCTGTGTTATTGCTTGTCTCTCTGATCAAACTTGATATCCTGAGAGGTTGCTTCACCATGAGGAAGATGTCCTCCTGTTCAACTTTGACAGAGGACATCGCATCGCCGAGGCCTTTGGCGACTAAGCAGGGCTCAAGACTTCACTGTCACTTCTCTTTCTTCTATTTATATCTTTCTCTTCAGCTTCATCTTCAGCTTCATCTTCTCTTTCTTCTCTCTGTTCATCTGCAAAGTCCGAAGACTGCAAAACCTCGAAGAGCGTAAGTCCGATACTCTGGCACCATGGGCAAACACGCCTTTCATTTCAAAAAGAACACCTTCAACTACGATGAGTACAAGCGCAAGTAAGTCACGCATGTCTATCGAGTCGGTGAGAAGACGCAGGCATCTAACAAGATCATGATGAAAGGCTTGAGCGAGTCTCCCTGCCAGACAAGTAAGGCCTCCCCCAGCAAGCAAAGGTCGAGAGGGTATCAAAATCTGACATCCAGCATAGGATTCTGTGCAAGATCTGCGGCAAGATTTGCTCCGCCAGCAAGTACTCCAAACGCCAGCTCGATGAGCTGCGCAAGGCGATGGCCAGTAACCCCAGCGTCAACGGCCTCACTCGTCCTGGCTTTGCTGGATGCCGTACGTGTATCAGCCACCAGACCGTAGAGCTCACTTGCTGCATTTGCGACAAGACCAAGTCCCTGGAGTACTTCAGCAAGAACCAGCGCTCTCCCCCTGACACTGCGGTATGTCTTCCCCCTCGTCTGGTATCACTTCGTTGCAGGGTACTTATTGCAGTACGTCCAGAGATGCACCAACTGCGTTCAAAGCCATCTCGATGCTGAGCCAATCGCTGAAGTCCTCAAGGAGATGGAGGAAGGCGAGGGTGGTTATGACCCTGCTACCGCACCGGAGGTATGCTCGTTTCGCCCCTTTTTGATGCTTCACGATTCTGACAATCGAACCAGACCGATGTGAAGGAAATCACTCACTTCCAGAACCTCTCCGTCAACGAAAACACCCGCCCTCGCATCCCCGTGGAACGCCAGCAGGTTGCCAAACTCAAGCCCCGTTCCGGCGTCCCTGACTCAGAGGACGATGTGTCCTTTGGCGGAGTCTGGGTTGAGCAGCAGCGTGATGGCAATGGCAACAGCACCGCTCAAGATGGTGCCAAAAAGGGGGCCGAATTAACAGCCTCTAACAACAAGGGGGCTGGACAATCTCGCAAGACCGCCCGCAAGACCGCCCGCAAGACCGCCACGCCTGCAGAAAAGTCTGCAGCAGAGAAGTCTACAGCAGAAAAGTCTACTGGAGAGATGTCCACTCCTACCAGTGGTGTCTGGAACATCACCACCAAGGAGAGACGTGCAGCCACGCCACGCAAACACTCGAACTTCGCAAAAGTCCCCGTAAGTAAAGGCTTGTCCTTGACTATCTCGCTACATCATACCATGACGTACAGCGTTTTTTTATGTTTCTTGCAGACCCTCACTAATGAACATCATATTCAGGGTGTCCGTGTTCCCAAGGACGAGGCTCCCACCCAGCGTCTGCCAGAGCCCACCGGACCAACCATCGACTTCGACGATGACTCTGATGACGAGTGTGGTATCGAGGCCTGGATCTGAGACGATACTCCATCAGTTGAATATCCTGGGTGTCAATCAAACATCACATTCCACTGACCCAGTTTTGATATTCCATATTATTCATATTTGAGCGGCCCTGAGAAGTTTGACCTCATGAGTACTCCGTAACGAAGGAACGAATGCAATGACACCAGCCCTGATCAACGAAATGTCCTTCGGCTCTTCTTAGTTAGCCATAGCCCTTTGGTAGTTAGAATTGAAAATGACATGAAATTAAACAGTTTCACAGTTTGCCACCGAAAGCTTGCTTTTATTTTTTTTTTTTAATTCTTTTTTTTTCCCTCGTAACTAGTTAGTTGGTTAGTTAACCCCCGTTGGAACTTTAGTGGGCGGGTCGGGCCTTGTACCGAATTACCCCTGAACAGACCAACTCGCACTATGGAGTCCTGTAACCAGCAATCTGGCAAGCCCACCTGCCAACCATAGCTGAGCTTACATCCTGTCTTAATTGCTCTATTATTACTTCGTATGTTTCCTTATGGTGGCGGCACTTCAATGAGGTCATGCTTCCGAGGTAAACAAATAAACAAACATATCAACATGTTGGGTAGCTAGTTACACATGGGCAGCCTGTGGTAGTGGGTAACATCATATGGTTATCCCAGTGTTACAGCAGATTGTTTTCTGGAAAGATTCTACAATACAATAGTTCACGGATAGCGCCAGGTGCCGGCTGTTCATAGTAGACGTACGGAGTACTCCGTATCAATATCAGTGGTCAAACGGCCAGGCAGCTTCCCATTCCTTGCGCTCCTCCTCGTTCTCTGGATACTTCGACATGAAGTCCGCCTTGGTCAGTCGAATGAGCTCCTTAACCTCGTCATAATCCTCGTGGTCAACGGTGCCGTCAACTCGAAAGAAATGCGATCCAACAGCCTCCTTGACATCTCCCATGATATTAATGCCATGGGCAGCTCCTTCACAGTCGCGATCAATGATTTTCAGTTCATCTGGCGTGAACTCATACGGGAACCCCCTCTTCAAATTGTTGCGTATGCCTGGGACGTCTTCCCAGCCCTTGCGGTATTGATCAGCTAAAATAGCAAGATATGCTGCTTCCCCGTCAAGATAGAGATTTCGGGCAAAGAGTAAAAGGGTAAACCTCGCTGTTTCGCGGAACTCGAGTGCTCGGAAGAGTGGTTCGATTCCCATGTGGAGGGTATTTCTCCAAAGGGAGACCAGTGCCATTTTCCAAAACAGAGACTCTGCTTTTCGTTTTTTCTCCGAAGCTATAAGCTCTTCGTCGTCTTCAAAGAGCTTTTGAATCTCCTTGATATCCGGGTGTTGTAGCAGGTCTCCGGTCATACGTGGCCCTTGGTACTCAAGGAAGTATGGTTCAATTGTATGATCATACAGGGGCGCTAATTCCGTTGTCTGCCAGTCGATGATTCCACAGATCTCAGATGGGTTATCAGGGTTAACAAATATGTTTTCTGCATGTAAGTCGTTGTGCCACAGGTGAGATCCCGTTATGGACTTGTCATCTGGAAGTAGATGATCGACAATCTCCATATATGCCTGCAACGCTCTGATCTTTTTCTCCTTTGAAGGACGATATGTTTGAGGTCCATAGAGTCCTATTGGAGATTTTGGTAGCTTTGGTATCTGTGTAATACATTCCATTTCTCTGTAGCCTGCTGCTTTTGCATAGTCCAATGGACTACCCCCTATGAACAATTAGTTTATTATGATCCAAATCCAGAAATGCAACGACCTACAAGGCCCTCTGTCAAACTTGACACTTGCTCTTCCGTCATCGAAATGTTGTCTGCTTGTCGATGGCCCAACAGTAAACCGGTCATCCGTTACCTGCTCGCCGTTTTTGTTCGTATATGTCAAGCTGGTTGCATTGGGTATGTCCTCCTTGTAGTATATACTACCATACTGGGGAAATGACGTCAAGGTCCAACCTCTTTGATAGCCTGCTATCTCCTTGACAATGTTAACCTTCATTTCAACGTCAAGTTTGTTCCACAATGTCTCCAGCTGCACTCCGGGTATCTTCTCCATTATGATATATTCTGCACCGACCGGGTTATCTGTCCCTGAGCTCCAACCAAGGACCTTAGGAGCTGGTGTCCCAAGTATATTTCTAACCTACCTGGCAGTTAGAATCACTTCATGTATAGGGTTGATAATCACTCACGAAGTCCATTGTTGCCACTTCAGATGCAGTGGTAAAACGGGGTATGCCAGCATTCGGATTCGGCACTTTGCCAATGACCTGGACACCGTCATCCATGGTCAGAAGCAAGGCCTTGCTGTACAGCCCATCCGCCATCTTCTCCACCCTGATGCACTCTCGAGTTCCAGGACCAGAAATCCGGGCTGCGGTCTTTGCTAACTCATTGACATCGAATTTGATGTATCGTTGTGCCAGCTCTTTTGCTTCATCACTAAGGAACCGAGAGCGTGTAAACCGGAAAAAGGTGTCATCTTTATTCCAGCACTGGTTTGAATAAAACCTTTTAGTATTTCCTATATGGATCTGCTGGATTTTCTGTGTTGTAGAGGCTGCGATCTGGATGTGGTGTTTTCCTGCAGAGATTGTCGGCCAGTGAAACTGATCCCGCATCCGAGCACATATAACGGTAGACCTTATCTTGATGAAAGCTTCAGCATCTTAACGGTTATGAACTATGCTTGAATAAGACGCAGGTATTGAATAGCCGACATCCCATGCCTAGCAAAATGACTTTAGACAGTATTTTCTCTGTTTCGGCTTGTCTATGCAGGAATTTGATACCCCAGCCACCACTGATGCACAAGGATGCCGATGCCACTCCAGAAGCCACTTCATTCTAGGACAACGATAGACAGCGGAATTCTGAATACCCTTCTGCTGGATATTGCTGGAAACACGGGAATGAATCCTTTTAACTACTAGTTACGGACCAGTCGGTATTTGGTTATGCCTTGGACTTCAAGATATGCCCCTTAGGTCAGCTGAAGAGATGAGACGCCAACCAAGTACTATTTCACTTAGAGTAAACTGTTTGGTGACCCCAGGCTTCATTTTCATACATATTTACAAGGTTGGTCTTTGCTATAAGGTTGAACTTGGACCTATCTTTTCGTACGAGCCTTGTTAACTTTCGGCAGGGGCAGTTTCTAGCTGCCTAGCTGCCTTTCCCAAGGCTTACAATAACCCATACATGAGGTTTTGTCACGTCTTGGGTACCATATATTGCAGCCCACTCCAACTCTAGCCTTATGAATAAACGTCGTTGAAAATGGGACCATTGGCAAAGGCCCAGCATTTTGACAATGGTCTGTGATCGAATCGAGCCACCTATCTAAAATTGATCAAAAGGATCCTGGGTTGGCATAAGTAAATATATGCTCGATTTGCTCGAATACGGAGTAGAAAATACCCATTGCTTCCATGGAGTCGGCTTGCTAACTAGCGATAGAGAGGGGAGACAACTCGCTCATGTTCATGTAAGTTGCTTTGCTGCTGAGACATTGAGAGGACTATCTTTGCTTTATATCCTTCCAGCCTCCTTTAAAATATTGGCATCCTTGGGAACTACGAATAGCCAGTGATACCCTTCGAATCAAATAGAAAAACGAGAGAACAGAAATATCTCGAGCCGATCACATACTTGGCCTGGCTTGGTCAGCAAGGCGCCTTGTATTCTAGGCAGCCTCCATTTGATGATCCCTGTCGGCATGGGAATATAATATGACTTTTTTTCCGCGCAGTTTTTCGAGTCCGAACGGTTGGGTGACATCCTTGATGTTATGCAAGTTATCACAGGGGAACATCGTATTTAACCGCATGCTTACTTCCTAAATATAGGAATTTTAAGCATTTCAATGACCTGATTTGTTGTCTATGATTAACACGAACATTCTTCTCTCGATGGCCAGTCTTTGAGGAAACCAATTGCTCTACAGCAAATCACCACGCAAAAGCAATTCGGGGTAACTACTCACGGGGGTTAGGGGAACCAGGTTAGACTCCGCGGACCACATTTAACAAACTATTGCGCCGACTCAAATATATAAAAGGGAACGAGAGCCTGGATGGAGTTATCCCTTTTCTATGAGGCATAAGCCTATTTGTTATTAAGCTAAACATCACATTAGCAAGCAGTTCCATCAAGATGGATTACTACTTATGGCTCTTTTTCACTATTTGCCTTTTGCGCATTGAGGCTGCAATTGCCATGTATGACCCTTGCTTGGTCGACGAAACCTTTCAGAAATGTCTGTATCCCAAGGCTCGTGGCTCTGTGCACTTCGAGTTTAAGCCACTGTTCCCCAAAGGTGTGGACTTTGTGTACGCATTCGACTCGGAAACTCAGGAGGACGCCGATCAGCAATATGTCCCCGAAGGTTCGGTTGCTGCACCGGATTCAAAGGTTGCATTCTGGTTGGAGTACCCGGAAGTCAACCTGAACCCAGCAGCGCATACAGAAACATACATGGTGGTGTTGGCGAACGAGAACTTTACCGGTAATCCGAGCGGAGGCAACAACGGCTGTGATGGACTTTGGGGAGCCAAATGTTCCCGGAGCCTAGCAGCATGGTTCAAAGCCGAAGTAGCGGGCGGGGCATATAGTCCCGGAGAGGCGATTAGCCAACTTAGAAGCTATTATGGGGGAGAATCTAGAACAGAAGAAGGGAAGCGTATATTGGAAGATACCGGATGCCCCGTTGGTTTCTTTAACGAGACTTTTGGATATGGTATGCCATCTATTTTTTTATTATAAAGATCTGCAGACAAGTAGCTCACGGTACCTAGGAGCTTTCGCTATTGAAAACGGAGAAGGTTCTAAGAACACTCTAATATATGCATCCGGAGGCTCCAAAGCTGCGTGGCTTATAGAGAAGATCTCTGCCACTGGGTATGACGAACAGATCAAGAAAGGCGTTGGTATGTTCGTTCTTCGGAAGCCACTGCAGGGTGACCTCTACAAAGACGTGAAAAATCTGCAGCTTGAAATGGCCTGCGTGAGAGCAAAGCGTCTGTCTGAGGAAGATAGCCCTAACCAGGGAGGTGATAATGGCATGTCTGGAAACGGCGGCTCTAATATCCCAGGACTTCACTCCAGCGGTGCTACCAGGCCGACATTCTCTGCGGGCTTAGTATCACTAGCGGCGGTTCTAGTATGGGTATCTAGCTAGGTATCAGCGAGGCCATGTACAGTAAAAAAAATGATACAGTATGCTCCATGTATCTCAGCAACAGCTATCTGTTGGTTAATTATACCTGTTGACAGAGCCCCAAATGCATTGAAATGGAAAAAAGGTTGAAGACTGCAGGTGGAGCTAAAATCAAGCACGTGATTCGATAGCTGAACTTTAACTTTAAACTTGAGGCTCCAACAGCCGCCTTGCTGGACTCTGTAACTATACATACTCCGCAAGGCAGCAACAATAATAATAATAATACGTCTTGTCGATTGTTGTTCAATACCCGCCATCTTTCGCTCTTCATTCCCCAATCTCCAGGCATGGCTACTATTCAAGATCTTCCGCTGGAGACCTTGCAGCAGATCTGCGACTTCGTTGCTTCTGGCTATAGAGCCTCCCTATATGATTTTGCCCTGGTATGCCAGCGATGGTCTCTGGCATCAAATGCAGTACGGTTTCGAGAAATCCGCCTAGTTGTTGAGAACCAGGGGAAACTAACTAAAGATTTGGATCACTTGAATGGTGTGCTACGGAGTACGTCAGGTTTTCGGTCCGTCCGTCGACTTGAGATTAAAGGGGAGCTCCCAGCTGATGTAAATACCTGGGCCCCAAAACGAATAAGGCAGGCTAAGAATTGCATGGTTGATACCGATGATGAGCTTGAAAGTGCGAAATATATCCCGTATACAAACCTTCTCGAGCTCCCAGAAGTCACTGTAGAGCTGGATAAGTACGGACTCCAGTGGCTCATTTCGTGGCCCAGCTCCGCGCCCTTCAAGACCTTGTCTTTGACTGCGCTAACCAGTTCCCACCATGCTTGCTGGATGTGCTACACCAAAGCCTACCCAGTTGTAAGCTTCACCTCCATAATTTTGGGCTGAGGAACCTTTATTCTTACAAGGGGTGGTCACGAGGCTTGGATAAACACGAGTACTCACTGGCTACTTCTCCTTCATTGCACTGCATTATCCTGCATTACGGATGGAATGAATCCGAAAGACTACTTGATTATCATGACATGGCTGTGGCTAGAATGAGCCAAGGACTGGCTCCAAGCCTCAGACATGTACAAGTTATTGCCAGTTCAATGTCACCGATCACATACAACAGGCGTGTTGAACACCGACCAAAACGAGATATATTCCCTAACAATACCCTAAACCCTGACGTTGACGTGCGTGGCGAACTCCACACCATGAAATTTAGCGGATTTTTATTGGGTAGACTTCAAGGATGGAATGAACGAATTGTCTTCTCGTCATTACGAGAGCTTATTCTGGACACCATCATAGACCCGTTCAGCTTGAAAGAGGCGAGCACGTATAATTTTACCTCGCTTAAGACCCTCGATCTACGCCTAGAGAGCGACAATTGGGACGAACATCCCTGGATGGACGGAGCGACAAGTGTCTTCCTTCGAAGCCTGCCTCCTCTGGTCACGCTTAAACTTACTGGGAATTTTGGCGATGACTCGCTCAAGGCCATAATAGACCGTCACAACTCGTTGCAACGAATCTGGCTCTTCCCTCGGACACAATCTCACTTGATGGTGACGGATTTTACCTTAACATTGGATACAATCCGGGACCTTACATCACGCTGTTCAGAATTGAGAACGGTCTGCCTTCTCATCCCACGAGTCCTGGAGTCACAAGACATGGCCGTATACCAGTCTATAGGCTGTCTTCTTCATTTGAAAGACTTGTGTCTGTACCTCGACTGTATTTGCTATCAAGACACTAGACCGTCTCCCACCATCGAAGACTATTTACCGCAAAATTTTGCAAAGATAAAAAACTCAGTTATGAATGCAGCTCTAAATGAGGATATTGCTCGCAATATCTTCCATGAAATTTACCAGGCTCAGTCCAGACGCAGGATGCCCGTTTTTAAACGGCTTAGAGTACAGGCTACGAGGGTGAAGCTTAGAAGAGACATTCCCGAGGACCTGGATAGGATACTCAATGTCAGCAGTCAGGGCTATGAACTTACTATGAACCCGACTCAAAGGCATGGTTGCTATGATATCATTAGTCAACGGTCCAGTCCCCGCATTTTCTGGTAAAGCCCGGGTAACATCTTCCTGAAGCCTCGATGTCTTACAAGTCCTGAAATTCCGGCATTGGCTTAGTTCCGCCACTAAGTAAATTAAAACGGAAGCTGTGAACCAGAATGGGAAGGTATTTGCTCAGTCGATTAGCCATGGCATCCTCTGTGGGGATGCCGCATATACACGAAGAGTGCTACAAAATGGTCCTTTGGCGTACGCCTACAGTGTGTGGTGCTCAAGGCTAAATCTATATCGGCCTCCTCGTTACGCAGATCTGATCTAGTTAATTAGTGGGCCGGCCCTTCCGTATGGTTGTCTTCAAAATCAACCAGTGACCAGCTTGAACACCACTGTTTTCACACACTCTAATCAAATCCCGTCTCCAATAAGCGTTGATGTGCTATACAGATCAACAGCTGTTTCACGATCGTGACATGATCCATATTTTAGACATTTCTTCCTGGATATCTAGATCTCATGCTGCTCTGCTTCCGGTGAAGCTTCTCTGGAAAGTCCCTTGCACACGCCAACGTCTTGCACATTGATATACTCAACAGCGCCACATCCCGATATTGGACTATCAGCCCATATTTCCAGACCCAAGAATACACCCTAGATCTTAAACATGGCGTTAAAAAAGAGGCATTCAATGCCTTAATGAGGAAATGCAGTAAGGTGATTGGTATGGATGGAGTTTGAGGCCGCTCTGGCTTCTATGGCTGAATTTCATATCTGCCTGTGGCTGTTTTTCATTTTATGCAGTATCACTATTTTATATTGAACTGCTTTTCGGGAAAGACCTGTCAACCTACCGGTAACTATATCGGCACATATCAGATCATGTTAATCTTGCGGCCTCTCCGACTAAATTGTATATGGATCAGCTTTTGTTTCTCCAAGCATTTCCAGATAATTTCAATACTATCATTTTTCAGAGCACCCATACCTACCCCTAGCATCTTCATTTACAAATCAGTACGTTGTTTTTTGGGCTGAAAGCTCCTTTAGATAACTCCAAGCAACTAATCATTTATCTGGACAGTCAATATGAAGCTCACTAGCATCATTTCAGCTTGTACCGTCATGTCAGCGGTGTCTTCTCCCACGCTGGCATGGAGAATCACCGATTATGACTCGAATACCCTCCAGGAAGGTGGCAAACCTGAGCACGGCAAATGCTTCAACGAGATCAAAGGCCCAATCTTTGAGATCGACGACTGTACCCAGGGAAACTTTTTCAGGGGAAAGGATTGCACCGGCTATTTCACTGCTGTATTCAACGGGCAGGCCGATTTCAGGATCCCTTCTGACAGTGTTAGCTTCCGGGTTTACTGCTCTGCATAGTAAGCCTCCTTCGGTCTTCTTAGGGTTAGGTATAGACATGCTTACATGGAATAGAGGCCAATATGATATGTTTATGACTTGGAGTCGGGCTGCTTCCGGAACTGTAGTTAGTGTTTAAAGGGAATATTAGCAGGTCGACTGCTTTGAAACTATGTGGAGAGTGTTCTTTGCAATATAGCTGGCTCTACCAAGCCTGACTGAGGCGTGACTGTCTTGCACAAATACATTTATTTCAAATACTCCTCACAAGCTCCCTCAATGCCTCCTCACCGTAATTCGCCCATATGCTCAAATGCGTCTCATCCACGACCCTTAAAGCTGCTTGGCCGCCGAGCCTTGCAGCTATCTGCACCCCATGGTTAAGTGGAACAGCAACGTCCTGTTTCCCATACCAAAGCTGCACAGGCAAGTCTGGACGTATATCTTCCACTCGAAAGCCAAAGTCCATGCACATCAGCCTGCCATCCTGTACTGCTGCGTCACTGCCTTGGGAAAAGCTTTGCCGACTTGTCCGTAGGAATAACCTCAGAGTACTTTCGTCCTTCATGATCTCACGGTCCTTTTCAGGCATGGACTTGGACTTCAACACCTCCTTTCGTAGTTTCTGGTATCGTTTCTCATCACTTAGGTCTAGGTTTGCTGCCAGCTGGCGTTTGAGATACCATCCAGTAGCCATGGGAAAGTAGCGGTATCCGAGAGTGAATCCTAGCCAGTTAGCCCAGCATGCGCCCTTCATACCGATGTCTGGAGGGCCAAGGCCACAGATGATAGAGACTGCTTTAAGTTTTTCTGGCGGTAGCGATGCAGCACAAGCGAGTGCATATGGCCCGCCTCCAGAAATTCCCTGTCGATTTTTGTCAATTTGTGATGTTCTTGAAGCAGCGTTATGGGATAACCAATCCTTACTAGTACTCCATATTTATCTAGCTTGAGATGGTTTGCAAGCTCTTCCAGGTCCTTTGGGTGGTCGAGAAGCGACCGACCTGCATGAGGTGAGCTCCAGCCAATCCCAGGCCGATCAGTAGCAATTATACGGGCTCCCAGCTCCCGGGCAAGATCTTCAAAGCATGCAGCTTCAGTGCGAGCTCCCGGCAGGCCATGTAGATAAAAGATAGGCTTCCCCGTCAACAATCCATACTGCGCATAACCAAGTTTCCGACCATCCGGCAGGGTTAACGCATCTGAACTGTCATCATCGAGAGGAAATCGGCAACTTGGGGCTTCAGATGCATCCGTGGTATTGTGGTCTGGGTCGCTCTGAGTACTTGATGTGAAGCGACGCAGTATTCGTTGCAGAAGAGCTCGCAGCTTTACTAGACACATGACAGGTATAACAAGGGCGAGTCAAGAAGATGCCTTCATAGCATATAAGAAGTAGACGAGTACTTCTTATACCTCTGAAGGATCAGTCCATGGTGTAGGAATCCTTCAGGCCTGTCCTGGCCATCGTCAGGCTGGGTATCATCAGGCATCTAGTTATCTCAGCACTGGGAGAATCGCCTCAGACGCACTCCTGCGATAGCCAGCCATCAACGTAGAGATGAAAACGCCAGAATCACTCATGCCAGGGAATATAGACGGCCTAGCCAGCCCCCTGAGACGCGGCATGGCAGCTATATCGATGGCTCGCTATATTGTAGCAGACGCAGCGCCGCACATGACAGGGATCACTTGACGACGTCACAGCCTCGCTCGCAGTCAAGGAAGCCGGGCAAAGACGAACAATTTGCGATGCGACTTGCGACCAGCGACTCCCGCCAGCACTCGGAGCCCTCCTGTGCCTCGTCGCCCTGCCCGATCGATGCTCGACATGCGCTGACCGGATAACACAGCGAGAGAGTTGTTGATTCTGGACGAGAAGATGGCGTACGACGGATACCGCGCCTCGTTCGACCCCCCGGGGTTCAATCCCAACGCCAGCACCAGCAACAGCTACACCAGCAGCAGCAGCAACATCAACAACATCAACACCAACAACGGCGGCGGCAGCACCAGCAGCAGCGCCAATATCAGCAGCACCAAGCCGTCGAACGCACCGTATCCCGGCTATCTGCAGCCATCGTACGGAGAGTATCCTGTCGAGCAAGACCCGTCTTCCCATCCGCCTCCTCCCCCCCCCCCTCCTCCCTCCGCCACCCCAGCAGCAGCAGCAGCAGCAACCACAGCAAGTGCCATACCCTGCGGCATCAGCAGCACCAGGCCAGGGAGTAGAGTATGTTGAACAGGCGACGTACTATCCTCCGCCCGTTGGGCCTCCTCCCCAGGCTGCAGACGCCGTGAAGCAGCCGTTTTCACGCACGTCGTCGCAGCCAGAACCGCCAACGCCTCGGGTACCTGACCCAAACTATCCGTCAACTGATCTGATAGCCCAGGTCACGGCAGCAGTGATACAGCAGCTCCGGGCGCCAGGCCCAGGGAACGCCCCTCCGCCTCCCTCTCATCCCTCGCAGCAGCAGGCGCAGCAACAGACGGTCTATCAGCCTCCAACACCTGCTCTATCGCAGTCAAGCTACAACAGGCAGAGCCCTAACCCGAACTCTCTCAGTCCTCCTATCGCCACAAGCCCATATGGACCGCCTCAGCCTTCTATACCAGGGCAGCCTGACCTTTCTAATGCGCCGGCTCAGTCATCTTACCCTCCTATCTCGTCTAGGGTTGATGGGAGCGCATACAACGGCCCTCAGGTGCAAAATCCTGCTGATAACGGCCAGCAGCAAACCACATCCCCCGGTATAGATAGAGCGAGAGGATCATCTATCGGGTCGTTTAACGGTGGCCGGAATGGCACCAATCCTTCCAAGGGCCCATCTAGACACTCAACTGTCACAAACGAGGCTATTTCTGAGAAGCCATGGGGAACCCTCTTTGATAAGGATGATATGCCTACCAGCAGAGCAGGACAGCTCCTGCGAGGTATTGCTCTTCATATGGTACGAAACCCCTTCTCTGATATATGGAGCTCGTTTGCATGATATCTAACTAGTCATAGATTGAGACCTACCCGCCTGGTAATACCCTGGTTATCACGCCAGAGAAGTTGCAGAAATTCTATCGTGATCACAGAGTATCTTCAGACTCATATCCATGGCAAGGTACCGCTCCACTCGTGTATCTCCCTTCATACCAAAGCTAACCATGCATAGATATCTTTGATAACCGGACATCATCCATCTCTCGCCTTTTCCGATCTTTGAGCATTGAACACCACCTCGTCCAAGACCAACTTGACGAACGCCCTGATATCCCAGGCCTAACTCCACGTGGTTTCGAGCGCTGGATGTCCATGATGATCCAAGCACACCCAGAGCGGGAATTTGAGCGTGTTAAAAATATTGTACAAAACATACCCATCACTAACCCGGATGATAGGACGGAAAGATTCCCAAAAGAGCTACGAAGGAAACTTTTCCCGCAGTTACCTGACTATGATATCAAGGAGACCCTTGACAGATGGATAACTACACATTGCCATGTCGAATTAACGCAAGGCATGCTTGGAGGGCCTCCCATGCGCCAACCCCGAGCCAAGTCAACTGTGGACAATACATCGACCGGCATTCCCTCACGGCCAGCAAGTACCGACGTCCGCCCCAGGCAGTTCCCACCGGCTGCAACGGTCGAAGACGCAATTGATGAAGATGACCATGTCATTGTTGCTAGTGCCGATGTCGCTGATGTTGATGCTGCAGCACAACCAGTGCAGCCCATTGAGCGGGAACGGAAACCTTATAGCATGCCAGGAGGGACCAAAGGGTATCGAGAAGATACCAGTCCACACCCTACCACCTCTACCTCCCGTCACCCAGATTCAAACTCAGGAGTAAGCTTTGGCAAAAAACATGTGGTAGTTTATTCCGGTGACGATGACGATGACTTTTCGAGCCCTCGAGACGATGTCAACTCCAAGTACTCTTCTTCCCATCACGGGAACACGCATCCACAATCTCATGCTCATACCCATCCACATCAGCATAGCCATCCCCATACTCACGATGACTCCAAGCGGCATCATGGACGGGACAAGGATAGAGATAGAGACAGAGACAGAGACAGAGATCTAGACTGGGACGGGGACAAAAGCCGTCGTCGAACCTCATGGGGCAGTGATGAGGATTTCTATCGTAACCCCGTGTCCGATAGAGACAGGGGCAGAAAAAGAACGGAGAGTCGAACCCGTTTCTCTGATTATGACAAGTTTTGGGAATATCGTTGAATTGATTTGTATGTATTTATGTCGGACCAGTGCCGTTAATGGGCGGAAGCAATGTTGGGGTCTTTCTTTCATAGTGTATTTCCATAGTTTTGACAAAAAATAAAATAAAATGAAATGAAATGAAAAGTTGTTCATCTTTTCCCACTTTTCCTAAACCGAGCACTAACCTCCCTACTACTCTCAGCATACTTCCTCCTCACCTCTTCCTCCCTCTGATACCTCCGGACAATTCGCTCATAATCCTTCTCCTCCCTCTCCGCCCTTCTCCTTTCCCTTCTTTCCTTCTCGTGCTCTTTAGCCTTGGACCGCTTCTTCTTCTTTTCCTCCAGTCCTGCCCCTTCAATCCTCAACTGTTCTACCTGCTCCGGGGTCAAATACCACGGCACAGAAAGTACATCAACCAAAAACCGCGTCCGCTCTTCCCAGAACCGCATCTCCCCATCCATGTCAGGCAGAAGCACGAAACGCTCTAGATGGAGCTGTTTTATATTGCGGAACTTTATCACTGTTCCTTTAAACTTAGCTATTACGCCAGGAACGAGTGACTTGATGTCCAACGCCTCTTTGGTGGTAGATGTGATGTATTCGGAGACTCGTTGTGGGTCTGCAGCTGCTACGGCTGCACCAGTCTTAGCTTTAACTGGCTGGGAGTCCGGTAGTTCAACTTGTCTTTTTGAGCATACTATTTCAATATTCGACCCTGAGCTGTCGTCTAGTGTCAATATTGTTCTTCGAACATGCTCTTCACGAGAGACGATCACACCCGCCAGACAGATGAATTGGATAGGGTGGTTTTTGTAAAAGTATATATTTTGTCCTACTGAAATGTGTTAGCCCCTTACACTCGTAGATTTGATTGCACCGTGTACTTCTGTTTATAATACCTTCGTATCCACTGCGACGTGTCAGACGATGGACATTTACGGCGCTCAGTTTCACCCATGTGAAGTGCGTCGGCGATGCTTTATAGCAGTAGGCTGGATAGAACGTGAGGCCGTCGGGGGGTATAAGCTCTTCCTTGTGAGTATTTTGGACGCCATGCGCCATTTGGCCATTATCGCGACGTGATATGGCGTAGTACTCTCAAAAGTTCCGTATGTAACTAGATGTAGCGCTTCAGTGTTAATGTATGTCACATTTTAATCGAAAGGATTAACTAACTAGTTAGTTCGCGTTTTAAGTTCGCGTCTGGCGCTTAATTTTAGTTAGCGCGCTTCCACGACCACACCACTGAACGAACATAATCCCTTTCTGGATACACATTGATTGTACATCAATATTTATACACGCATTCCAGGCACTACGGAAAAGAATAAGCCATGTTGGGTGCCAAATATACCATATAAGGACCATGCAGATGGGATGGGTGGCCATCGTGCGGACAAATGGCCCGCTAGGTCAATGACCTTGCAACAAGCATCATTGCCTAGAACTATACCCTCCGTGCATGCATATTACATCTTGTGCCATTACGGCAGAGTGGAAGACACAGTTGCATGGCTTTGACTTGCAGTTACCAGATGCCCTGCCAAAGTGACCGGGGAGCCGGATAGCCTTGGCGGCAAAAACTGTGAAGGCAGTGAAAGTGATGGATGCAACAGTAGTAGCGAACACAAAAAACATACATTGCGGTTTTTCCACCAAGAACAGAAGTGCATGCTAGAACAACTTACACGGATGATTTCATCTCTCTAAACCAGCACGCTCAAAACTATAACCCTATTGATTCCTAACCAGGGCCAAACACTTCAAGACTGATGACCCCCAAAGTGTTGCGGAGATAGCGGGAAGCATCCAAGAGTAAGTGAGAGGGTACAGCACTTTGGATCCAAACCACGTTAATAAGTTCGAAGGCCAATGATGAGACGGATGAACGGCAGAAAGAGGCAACTGGCCATATACCCAAGCGATAAGGTATGGGTATGAGGAGCCACCTGCGCGGTTTAGAAAGCCCGGCGACCCGTATATCATATACGAAAAACCACCAAAGCAGAGAGCAGCCGTATGTTTTTTCACATCCTTTTATCATACTCTCTCCGCCATAGTCAAGATAGCTGACACAGGGACAAGACCCGGGCGCAGTCCTTGCAAATGCTATTAAAACGGCCAGATTGATAGGAGATCCCAATACCCTCATAGGTCATGGTATCAAAGGGGGGAACCTCAAGGTCCTCTATCATCCCAACCCTACCGCAGCCGCAAAAGCTCGCCAGAAGAGACGAAAGAAAGCGGGAGGAAGCAGAACGAGAGGAAGGGGGAGGCAACGTTGACATCGCCTATAAATATTGACTAACTAGTACCTGTTATGGTCCGAGTGGGTGAGTCACCTAATTATGATACTTGAGACTGAGATATCAAGGGAAACCATTGAGGCTGAAATAGTTATATAGATACCGCGCATCGGCTCAAAGAAATAGGAAGAGTAGTCGGGGACACCTCCACGATGTCACCATTGACGCCGCCCACATCCCTATAAATCAATATTCCTCTGCTCAGTATGGGGTAGCTAACCTAGTGCTTCCTATAGTTATCAACATAATGCCCTCTTACATTTTGACGATGCCAGCGATACCAAGGAAGATGAGCGAGAAGAGGCAGCAGGAGGATCAGAAAGACTATGGGTAGGTTGGTGGTAAAGTCGCCACCTGTTGCACAACATATCCTGTCTTTTTTGCCGCCAGAATACCTTCGGCGGTATGTTATACGCATAAGCGTACCTGTTGATTCTCTGCCCACCTATCTCCTGGATTCTTGATGAGCTCATTGCAGTTATACTTTATCTCATTCGCCTAGGTATCCCCGATCCTGGTGCAGCCCTGTGCATTATTCAAGTCATAGATCTAGACTCAATTACCCAAAGGGCCCCGCAAGCCAGTGCTGGACTTCATGTCACCCTTCCTGAATGGGGCTGGTGAACAGATCCGAACTTGGGTGAGAAGGCATGCGAGCGCCCGCGTGAGATTTTTTTTGCGATGAGAACATATACAATCCTTGACCAAGATTCAATCGGATGAGATATCTGGGCTTTGGGGAAGACGATGAAGATCATCGGATGAGCTACGAGTGCTTCTAAGCTGACTTGCAGTCAAGGATTGCCTTGCACAAAACTGTGATGAGCTGGAGCGAAGAACCTACAGCCAGAATATAGTACATACGAGACATACGGCCGCAAGGCATTTGATTAGAGAGAGCAGACGCCTGAAGGAGACCCCAGATGTGAAATGTTGTGGGAATAGTACCTTTGGATGTAAGAAGCTGGCTGAGTCCGATCATTGGTCGGCAGCTAATCAGTGCGTGAATTAAGGCACCCATCGTAACACCCCCAGAGAGCGGCAAACCAGAAGATGTGTCCGTGGAGCCCGCCGTGTCAGCGAACAACAAATGAGCCACACATTGGAAACGTATGTAGGAGCTTGCTCTGTGGCTCGTTGGCCTAACTAGTATCCATAGAGATCGAAATACTCCGTAGTGGTCGCTGCAAGGTTATCAGCTGGACTTGGCGTTCCCCACAAGCAGCGATGGTTCTGCTTATATAAGCTAACCTAATTCTGAACACGGGCCGCGGGCGGGCTAGTTATGTCCACTAAGTGTTGATCACGTGTTTGTGGGTGAGCTCCAGCGGACATCGATCGCAGCGCCAATATTATATGAACTCAAGAATAGGCGAGAAAGCGGAACTTATCGTCTGATGCTAAGCGAGATGGACCAGGAGGTGGCGGCGGAGCAACTGTTCCAACATTTTTCGCCTTTCAAAGAAAACGAAGAAGATAACGCGAGGTATGGAGTAAGAGGCCATGAGATAGCCTCAGAGAGCAAACTGGAATATGTCTTCAGCCGGCATTGCCCAGCACTCAATGCCTGACAAACAAAAGACCATCGTCTAAGATTTTGCATGCAGCATCATACCCGCTTCAGACATGTTTGCTTCAAATACAACTAACACCCAGTACGCTATAGTATAAGCTAGCATAAGCTAACCACCCATCTATGCCTGTCTGCATAAGTAGGGCGCCATTCCAAAGCATCATGTCTGTTTTATTTGCCTGTATACCAAATCTGATGCCTGAAAGGAGTTGTTTGCCTGGGTGTATCAATCGTTCTTCCGAAGCAGTCTAGCAATATGGTATGTTCAGTTTATAAGTTGGCTTATTTCCCCGTCTTATTCTTCTTCCCACCAATACCGCTTCCATTGCTCCACGTATACCATGGCGCTCCTTCAAGTTTGGTTCTCCTTAATTCTGCTTCATGCAAGCCTCTCAGCAACATTTCCTTATCCCAACGCCACTCGACCACTGTCTGATCGAGATGTATCTATAAGCGGGAATAGATATTATCCACAAACACCCAAGCGGAACCCAACATGCAATCAATCAGATTATGAAAAAGTTGACTGCCCTGCTCCGTCTATCTGCTACCATCAAAGAGGCGGTGCGCCAGCCTGCTGCCCTCCAGATACAAACTGCGATCCACCATGGATGAGAGGCCCGTCGCCTCCGATCCAGACCCCTATGCCGTCCCAGTCGGGCTCAACTTCAGAGTCGAACCAGGCCAATGGAAGCGGGAATTCGGGTGTGGGCGTCAGTGGTAGCTCGCGGGCAGAAAATCACAATTCGAACAACTTGAACGTGAGCGTAAGAAATGGTGGGACCGCAATGTTCAAAAGAAAATTCGCAGGGTTATTATCTAGACCGGTCCTGATAGTGGCGGTCCTCATTATGTTGTAAGAAGCACGGAAGTTTAATAATTAACACATTTCAAACTGAACGCAAAGATCGGTCTATCCTCCCTCCATCATTCTTTTTTTGGGATTTCTTGGGATGGGCTCTCCCCTGCGTGCCTCTTCCTCAGCTCTATCAACCAAGACAGTCTGATCCGCTTCATCTACCCTTGAGCTATGTTTCTCCTGCTTTTCGTGCCCGGCCATTGCAATTTCTAATATTTGATCTTCCATCCCCTCGATAAGGTTCCATTGAACACCAGCCTCATCAAGCTTCTTACAGCCTTGGGACTGGCCGACGAAAGTTCCTGGCTCCTTCACGCCGAAATATACCCTGTCAACACCGTTTTTCCCATCTTTCCTTGTTTCGATGATACGATCCACACAAGGCTTGTTACCGGAAAGTCTTTTCGCACATGGCTCCATGGTAACGTATAGCTCTATCTGAGCCTCGCTGCCTCGTTTCTTTTCTAGAATTTCTCCAAGATCCTCCTCAGCCACACCATAATGGGAGGCGAGCTTTGCAAAACAGCACTGTTCTGCGTGGGTGTTTCCGCGTAGCTCTAGAGTGTACCCTGTTGACAGTATCGTTTCCTTAAGTTCCGCGGTATCGCTGCTGGGATAGAGACGGAGAAGCAGGATAGCCCCCACACGAAAGTTGGTTGGTTTAGGGGGCGACTGGGACGCTAATTCTAGACACTGGGATAGATAATGGAGATGCGTTGATAGCGGTACCGTCCTAGGGGAAGACATTGTTGTTGGCTATACCTCGCCCTTCAGTAGCAAGCCTGGTGTTGATCTTCCTTCTTCGTTTCCCGCTGAGAAACCTACTTCCATATGACGTGACTAGCGTATGATGACAAATAAGTCACGTGAATTTAGAGTTCAAAAAATGGACCAAAACAAAAACTCAAATTGTTTAATCTGAGAACAACAAGCGACCTCATAAAAATTATTATTCTCGTGAGTATCAATCAAAAGGGCTACATGCCGGTCAATAAGGGTATAGATTCAACAATACTGTTATGTTCATAACTGCCCTCAAGAGACTTTACAATGCCAAATGCCCGAGAATACCGTTCCAATTCGGATAACACAACTCCCGACTAAACAACCCTGGCCACCATTCCGACATCGAAGCCTGTTGCTTGTTTAAAGTAATACCCGCGTTGATTGGTTAAGATCCTCCTCTTAGAACCCTCTACCTCGAGAGTAAAATCACAGTTGAAATGCGTGTGCCCAAAGGCCCAAAAACATACATTCGGGCTCTTCCAACACTCCTCATCTGTCAAATCCGTTGCAAACCCCCCACTGATAGGACTATCTATATGTATAGGGCTGGTGGCTCTCCCATCGGCGGAAAGGGGCCCGTGATGGGTGAAAATGACAATTTTTCTTCCAGGCTCCGAGGACGTGATGGATGTAACTTGTTCATTCAGCCATGCGAGATCACCAGCATGAGCAATGTTATGATCCGGTACCGACCAGTTATCAATTCGAAAGAAGTCGTTCAGTCCCATACCAACAGCTGCCTCTTGCTGGGCAGGAATATGCGAGTATAGCGTGCACCCCAGGACTGTAATATCAGCGGTTACATCGTATCTTGTCCGATCTAAGAAGACGAATGTTCCGAGCCCTTCATCTTTTCGCTGGCTAACCTTGAGCGAAAAGTTGGTAATTTGTTTCCTTGACTCTTCCCAGCTAGAGTTATACGGCTCATGGTTCCCCATCAGGAAGAAGACAGTCTGGAACCACCGAAGTTGAGTTTCGATGAAGGAGAAGAACCCCTTGTCGCGGACATTGCCTATGTCGCCTAGCAAAGCGAGATAGGGGGCTTTCGGCGGGGCGGAGAAGAGATCATAAGCCGAGGGAGATTCCAAGTGCAAGTCAGAGAGTATCTGAATATCCATGGTGATGGCTTGTAGAGCGTCGGTGATTTAAGCGGAGGCTCTGGATGAGCGTGGTGATATAAGTAAGTGTTGAAAAGGAGCTCATTGGTGTTTTTATAACTAACTCGCGAACCTTATGGCGTTAACTAGTGTTATAGTTCCACGTTTAGGCAAGGAATTGCTGGTCCACAATGTTAGGAATCCCTAAGGTCAAACAACTAGAGGACTCAAGCTGGTGGACCTGAGAGCAGTCGCATGTCATTTCTCTCTGATGTCATGCATTAACTAGTTAGTAGGGCTATTCTTTTTTTTCAAATTCCCAAAGGAAAAAAAATAAAGAGTACGTGTCCTTCGGGCATAACTGCTGGTTCCTACAACGTCTAGCCAAACTTCCAGAGACCCTGAGGTCTTAAGGTACCCAAGTCCCGGCTATAAGCCTGTTCTTCCATGGGACTATCTATTCATGTCAGTCTCTCCCACAGCCACCCCCAACCATTATACTGTTGCTCTTATTCGCCAGCTATCGCTTCTAGTCCAGCGCGTTTAGGTTCTTTGGTATCCTGTGCCTGACACTTGTTATTAGTTTTTACCCCTGTTGACGGCCACTACTCCTTAATTCGTTAACGCATCTAGCCAACTCCTGCAGTAAGACTGTTACTTCAATGTGCCCATGTTTTCGCTACAAGAGAACAACTGTCACTAGGTCCGCCTCTATACTGCATACTTTTTATTGATACCGTATCCTTTTTTATTGTAGGGGCCTTCAATGATCCAAAGAGTCCTCCCGCTATATAAGCTGGCATCTTTGCATACCTCCACCCACACTTTAGGAGTATGCATACGAAACTGGGAACTTTTACCCTTGGATAACCATGGCCTGATTTGGCCACTTTCGACATCTATCCTGGGATTCAAACAAATGGGGGCGTCTTGCCACTTCCCGAAAGCCCGGGCTGACTGCTGCATGCATATACGATCTGATACCACCGTTGAATTTCTCAGGCTGGTAGCGGGTAGTTCCTCGGTTTCAAGAGTATGCCAACATATGTGATGTCGAGTTGTATGTATCACATGGATGCTCTGGAGGAGTGCAGACCTCAAGTATGAAGCTTCAATCACATTTTAGGCAGGCTTCAAGCTGTTATTGTAAGCCGATATAAGTGCAGTCCAGGGATTTTTGAAAGGTCACTCAACGATGGCTTAGGGAACGGCAGGATGATGGCACGGTGTCAACATAGAGCTTCGACATGCTGCTACTGGTGTGGGGGCAACTCTATGGCCCAGCTGGCTGGACACAACCCCCGATACCTGATCATTAATTCCTTGTTAAGGACAACGAGGTAGAACTGGGAAGATTTCTACCTCTACCTCAGCTTATCATAAAAGGTATATATATGGCGGTAGACACTTCTAATGTCGGAGGAAATATCCAATTGTTCACACCTCAGAGTAACGGAGGCTAACCTTTCTACGGCTACATCTTACCCCCTTTCTCATCGCTCTACTCAACCTAGCTCCGACGCTGATCCAAAAGAGAATATGGACCTCAGAAACTTGTTCTACAATGTTTACTTGTTGTTATTTTTCTTTATATTTTCAACTCCCCAGCAATAGCCCAAGATCAGCCTACGTTCCCGGAACTTGAGGATGCTGCCCGAGCTGCGATCAAAGAACTACAAGAGAAGTTCCCGGAATTTTCTGACACATATATGACCGTTATCGGCGGCCTGGGTGTCTGGAAACATCTTCCTAAGGGGCGACGAACGATGGTGAGAAGATACCATATATGTTCATATATTGCTGAGATCTCTCATTCTAAGATGTTAGTTATAGGACGTTGATTTACTGACCTCTATCCCTGGAGCGCCGCAAACTGTGAAGCAGAAGCTGCTCGGTATCCCAGGAAGCCCCTTTACCCAGCGGTCACAGTACTTTTTATGGAGGCACCCTGATGGAAAGAATATTCAGGTAGACTTTCCACCATCATGGCAGGTATTTTTAACCCTAATATTGTCGCAACCTCCTACAATCGCTATTCAAGCCATTCTAACACCCGACTGAAGTCTCCCTTTACGCCTTCTGGAGCCAGGCGCCTTGGCCAAGTCAGACTGCCCGAGCTTCCGTACGCAACTCCCGAAGATCTACTGGCCTTGAAAATCAATAGCTCTGGGCTGCGCGCTACGATCGAAAAAAGAAGGGTGGATGCCGCAGATGCCGATGCTCTTGCTGAGATGCTTCTGAGCAGGGGGCCCATTGTCCTCACTCCCGAGCAGAGAAGGGCCGCCCAAGGTGGACTTGAAGATCTGCTAAAGTATAGCACCAAAGATGAGGCGTGGTGGAGAAGGGCCCTGCAGCTCTAAGGGATATACAGTGTTTGGCTTGAGCCATCGGTCGTCTTCTTATTGGAGGCTTAACGCATCACTCTCTTGCACGAAGCTGGCAGCGCTTACTATGCCTGCTGGTATTTGATGGGGTATACGCATCTATTAGTTTAAATAGTCTCTCCTTAAGTTCTTTTTCTTTCTATTGGATAAAATGGTTCATCAACTTGATTTGATGTCCATTTGACTGTGTCAAATTAACTATAACATTCGTTTTATCAACTTTCTCTTTGCTTTCGTCTCTATTGAACATCCTGCATGAGCTGATCTTTTATCTCCGGCCTAGTACTATAGGGTCAGGGGTTAGGCCTCTTAACATAGGGGAGGAGATTGTGATTGGGGATCAAAGTAGCCAAACCTAGCAAGCTCATTAGTTACTCGCAATTGGCGGATTGTAGCGCCGGATGTGCTGACTAATAGACATTCCGCGTTTAGTTATCTATTTTGAGTTTCGAGAGCCAGTGCGGCTCTACCCAGTAACGAATATTTTAGATTCATTCATCCAACTCCGCGTTTCTATCGATACTCCTCAATACGCTCATCCTTCTACCAGACTTCGGACTCTGCTAAGCGGGATATCAGTAATAAGTTAAGATACCGCGGAGATGGCCCCCGCACCACCAAGTTCTACGCTCCAGGTCTCAAACTTTTCACCAGCAGAGTTATCCTACCTTCACACCTCACTCTCGTATCCCAAAAACCCAATTCGACCAGATGGCCGCTCAGCAACACAATTTCGGCCGTTAACAGCAGAAACAAACATAGTACCGAATGCGAATGGCAGCGCGCGCATAGGATTTGCCGACGGAACACAAGCAATTGTGGGAGTTAAAGCGGAAGTAGAGAAGACAGTGTTTGTGAGCACACTGGAACAGAGCGCGGCGCAGGAGCACGAGCACGAGAGCGAAGATGAAGATAAAGAGTCAAGTGGAGGGAAGATAAAAGTGTCGGGATCCGGCTCGTGGGTCGAGATGTCCATTGAGATTCCGGGCTTGAGAGATGATGACCCGTTACCTGTATTTTTGGCAGAGATGATGAGGGAGGGCCTCATACAGTCTGGATCCGGATCATTAGCGGAATCAGGTGGTTTAAAGGAGAGGCTGGTTATTAACCAGGGCTGGCATTGGAGGGTCTACGTTGACGTGAGTTCCTTGCCACAAGCGTATTGTGAGCTACAGTCTACTAATGTGTGCAGATATTACTTCTATCCCCGCCGCTATCGTACCCCCTACCGTTGCTATCTTTAACGACACATCTCGCACTACTATCTACCAAGCTCCCGCGGCTAATATCAAAAGACGAAGAAGACCCAATGTTTGACGATGATTGGGACGCAGCTGAATATTTATACCCTCGTAAAACGTCTAAAACCTCTCCTACACAGCATATATTTCGCCCGCCAATATCTCTTCTAGTTATTTCCGTTGGACAAAATGTGATATTTGATCCAAGTAGAGAGGAAATTGCTGTAGCTGACTCTGTCTTCTGTGTCTCTGTTGCTCGAGACGAGAACAAACAGACGTCAGGTCCCGGTGGCTTAAAACTACTTGCTATCCGAACAATTGATCCACCAGCCCGTATGACACATCCTGGAGTGCCGGATGCCATTAATGCAGCTACTATAGGACTCACGACTGCCGACACTAGCAACTTTTCCGCTACTACTGAGAATGAGGGGGTTTGGACTCCTCGCCGCGGTGGAGTGAAGAGGGAAGTCGTTTCGAGGATTGCCAAGTTGGTTCTTCAACCTGGCGGCGTGGGTGATGAGGTCATGGAGGGACTGGAGATGGTGGAGGTCGACTGAATAGAGTGTGAGAAAAGGGATATAACTATTATTCCTGCACGAGGCGATTGCTTAAACACGCCGGCCACAGAATGGCTTGCCAGAGACTTCTGCGCTAGCCCTGGTGTCAACAACCTGTGAGCAGATTGACGAGGCTCCGATGGACAGCAACAGCCATCCGGTAGCACCTATACGATAACAGGAAGTACATGCACCAGGCCTCAAGTGAGCATAGATACCAGACATTCTACAAACGAATTAATTTAATCCTCCAAAAAAAAAAAAAAAAAACGCTTATCGTAACATAGTATACAGTAGGGAAATTCCAAGCAACCCATATCTACCAATAAAAAGTTAAATGGGCTCTCTAATCTCTCACCAGATGCCCAGCCATCTCTTTGGCTTTCTCATTGGTGCAGTCCCCTCTGAACTCACGCCCTGGACGTTATTCGCGCCCTCTACCACAGCATTCTCAGCTCCTTCAGCAGCCTGGGCATCGTCCGCCTTCACCCTATCATCTTCTTCCAGCCCATGGGCAATACGGTACTCCTTGCGTTTATCAATGTCATCTGAAATCCGCTTCCGCTTCTCCTTTGATATCACCGTAGTATGCTCGGCGTGCATCTTCATCACTGTAAAGAATTGAGATATAGTACTTATTGGGCTCGAGAATAGCTGAGACCAGCCTGGTAGTAGATGTGCGTATGGAGATGTGCGTTTAAAGTTCGTCGACCAAGTGAAATATGCAAGGGAGAAAAGGACGCTCTGTTCAAACACTGTTAGAATCTTGGTGTGACTTGATAGATTCACCCCAATGCTTACCATCGATATCCAGACATGAATGCCCTTATTGGTTAGAAACTTGAATAGTACTGTACCCTCCGGAGGGAACATATTGGGGTATCTCTTCGTCTTGCGATCTTCTATCTCCTTTGCGGTTGGAGGAGGACCGGGGTAGTTCCTGGGTGACTTGTTGGGATTGACCACTCGGCGAGCTGGGTGGGATGGAGGGCGAAATTTGTCTGGTTTCTCCAGCACTCTGGGCTTTGTAGGAGCAGCATGAGAGGCCGAGGAAGACGAGAAGTTGGCATGACGGAGGAGCGTTCTTCGTGGTGTGGTTCGGAGATATTGCAGTGAGGACTGAGAGAGGCCCCCTCGCGGGAGGAGAAAGGACGGTATGCTTGATGAAGCAGCCATTGTGCCGCCTCCGTTACTCCCCGCTGCTAGTTTGAAGAGATTCTATCTTCTATCCTGCTCTTCTTCTCTATCTCGTCGCCGTTATGAAAGTTGAGATTTCTATATCACGTGATATATTTTTGACTTTTGAAGCTCTCTTTAATCTGATTGGTTGATCATTTGATATGAGACAGCAGTTGAAGCGACTATCAATAAAGATGGATTCCAGTTCAATACTGATGGTCTACGCCTATTGTTTAACTGGATTCTGCTGATAGCAATTTAACAGTTGCTGGGAAAGTACTTAGAATCACCAACCTAGTTGCGCTTTGCTCCAAGAATGGCTACCTCGCTTGCTCTCTCTTCTCAGCCATGCCATTATTACTATCCCGTATTAACTATCGAGTATATCCTTTCGCTCTCCATCTGTATCTTCATCTGGCCTCCCCGGCCCCTTTTTACACAGCATCATTGCCTCCCTTACCGTCCCTTACTCAGGTCTATTGAGTCACGTGAAGGATAAACTTCGGCCCGGGTCTCTCCGGCTTTTCCCGGTAACTACCAAGACCGTGACTAATACAGCTCTCTGATTGGCTATTCTTCGGTCTTAACCAATCAGCGTCTCCCTAAACCCGCGCTCCTCCGTCATCAAGCCAAAACACGTGCTTTTTCTTTTTCTACGTCAAGAAATAAAACTTTTCAACTTTTTTGCTTCGAATTCAACTTTTCTTCCTTCCGTCAATCCGCTGCATTTATCAAACACACGACTCTATATACCCTCAATCGACGTCTTTTGGACTATACCGAACCTTCGTTTCCGTCTTGCACACATACTCTGACACAATGGCCAAGGGTGCTGATTCTTTCTCTGCTGGTAAGTTGTTGGATTGAGCTGGCTCTCAGCAAAAGGACAGCAACGAGAGCTCGGTGCAGCTTGGAGAACAATAGAGGAGATGCCGGATAGCGATAGGAATAATTGGGATGGACATAATGGCCTGGCCGTTACTTCACTCTGCTTGTTCGCTGCTGCTGTAGCTCCAGAGTGAAGGATAAAGGCAAGGGCTAGTTTGCAGCCAGACAGTCCCATGAGCCCTGTCCTATCGCTCTGTCCTGCTGATATCAAAGTCAGTAAGGCTGCAGGCTTATCAACACCTGCCTGGTATCCCGCTATTCTCTCTGAGCTGTACTGTACAGCTCACCCTCGTACATGCTATCTGTTATCTGCTGCTTCTTGTAACGCTCATCATGTGTGCAACATGCTCTATCTGGGCCCTGTCGGTCATTGATAGCCTTGTTGAAGATGAAAAGCGCAGAGAGCAGCAGAAACAAGAGGATCTTTTGAAAGAGATGGATAAAGCTAACAAACCTGCCCGTCTTCCAGGTGATGCCTCCAAGGGTGCCGGTCTCTTCAAGGTCAGTAAAATACAGCTCAATATTTGCTTTAGTTCTTCCCCAGCTAACATATCTCTAGACCCGCTGTGCTTCCTGCCACACCCTAGAAGATGGCGGCGCCAACAAGGTCGGCCCCAACCTTTATGGCCTCTTCGGGCGCAAGTCCGGCCAGGTCGAGGGTTTCTCCTACACCGACGCCAACAAGCAGAAGGGCGTCACTTGGGACCAAGATACTCTCGTAAGTTTACGTCGCCTTTTAACCAGCAAGCGGTATTCTAATCTTTTCATAGTTCGAGTACCTCGAGAACCCAAAGAAGTACATCCCCGGTACCAAGATGGCCTTTGGTGGTCTCAAGAAGGCCAAGGACCGCAACGACCTCATCACGTATGTTCAGTCTGCCCCATTATTTTCATGGTAATGCATCTAACAATAGCACAGCTTCCTCCAAGAGAACACCAAATAAACACTTCAACCCGACTACTCTCCATGACACACCAACCCACCTGTACCATCTAACTCTTCCGTATACCATCTCCGCCTAATATTCCACTGTTTCTCTACCATTCCTCACCTTCGCCCACACAACAACGGAATGGACGAATTACGAGGACCCAGGAAAAAAAAAATAGAAGGTGGCATGTACCAACAATACCAAAAGAACATTTTCTTCCCACTTAGATGTTACTCCTTTTTCTTCGCCTTGTGTTTTTATTTTTATGTTGTTGTTTCATAGTACTGTACCTCTGATAGATCAAGGGAATCTTGTTTCTCTGACTCCCGTTCTCTCCCACCAACCTGTAACATGTCTCCTTTTGATGTCGTGTCCTGCTACTCGAGGGTCACCTTACGATAAAATGAATATATAGTCTCCGCTCTCAGTTCATTATTAATCAGTACATTCCGCTTTCCATCCTGAATAAATGGTACCTTACGAGCCGTATGGGTATGTTATAGCTAGCGGTACAATCATAGGTTATTGAATAGAAAGAACTTCTACCCTTAGAACTTCAATGTTATGTGCATAATTCTCTATTAATCATCTCTAGCAAACCAATAATGATTTAAAGCAATGGGTCCAACCCGGAGTTTGCTTGCTTGAAGACGCAGGTTGTACTCCGTACCCACAGCTGATATTGGATGGTGATGCCATTAGAGTATTTAAGGTTATTTCAACCACAGTCTTTCAACTGCAACATAAACCAACAACTCCAGGCCATGGAAGACGCCTGTGATATCGGACAAGACTCCAAGATATTAATGTGATGCACATATGTCTCTTCCTCAGGATGCTGAGATTGAGACGGCCAAGAGAAAGACGATCTGAGTATCAGCGTAAAGTGCGGAGCGAGAGCCACCCTGGCAGTCAAGGCCCAAGAATATCAACAGACCTGAGATATACCTAAAGATCCTATACCCGTCGAACAAGAAGATCGTTGTCGCTTCTATGTTGACCTTACTGCGTACGCGCAGCCTGGGGTATGCTCACTACTGCGAAAGTCAAGCCGATAGCAGACGTTATTCAACAGAATCTCGACGAAAGTCTTATCCTACCGGTCAACCGGGATGCTGACGCATCAACGACTCCCGGTTTTTTGCCGCTAGACAGTGGAGTATAGCCAGCTCAGGCTTGGTCTGAGGAGAGGTCATATGATACTTGTACATGGCTCTAGCGGTGCTGGGTGTGGATATCAGAAAATGGCTCCCCTCATGCTCTCTCACGGTTCCAACGACTAGATGACGATCTTGAGCCAGGCAGCAGCGAGCATTTATTATACGAAGACCTTAAAGGCTGTCTTTGGGACAAACAACTGGTGGGAAGGGGTACAGGAGTGGCATCCCGCCGGGAACCTGATATGAGAACTAGCGATGAGCTTGATGGTGCAAGGGCTCGCTCGCAACGACTACGAAGAAGCATCAAGAGCACCAGCATCCTGGCCAATAAGTAACATCATAAGATGCAGGCATGGCAGATGAAACACGGCTTCCCGTCGCATTATTGGACCAGCCACCGCCACCAGGCCCGATTACTGGCTGAGAGTGCAGGTCAGTTGGCTGCATCTCCAGCCAACCATGCGCCCGGCGGAGTTACCCTGTAAGACCCGGGCCAGTTGCGAGTCCGGAGAGGGCCAGCGATGATTCTCGAGCTTCTGCAGAGACGAGAAGGGCGGGGATCTCTCGCAGTTCATGATAACGTGACGCAAGTTCCTGGGTTGTCCGGCCTCGACTTCGACTTCGGCCGCAACTCTCAACTACTTCGGCTTCATCTCTTGAACAGCTGCAGAGCATTATATTCTACTGTCAAGAGAGGAAGAAGTGCTGCCGATTTTAAATAAAATAAGTACACGAGCCATAACTACAGAACTAAAAGACTGACGATCCAGGCTGAACTGGTGAATACTGGCGGCGGCTGTCGATATCGCGCCTGTTTGAAAACCAAATACGAAGAACTGAAAAGACTCAAGAATAAGACCTCAGGTCTCATGAATGAATGTTCCAGAGAAAGTCCCTCTGAGTATCTCTGAATGTATAACTGCCCAGTTTGAATTTGATCCTCTGCTCTGGATTCATCTGAACCGTGTTTCTTACACAACGGACAGCGCATCGCATCGCACCGATCGCATCTTCAACAGTGAACGGTCTGAGATACGACCCTTTATCTTTCTCATTCTCTGGCCTACGCAAGGCAGCAGTCGCTTTTTTCTTATCGATAACTACGCAAGGTTGTCGCAACATCTTTTGTGTCTCTACGTTGTTTCTGCTTTTCCATCCAAGGGTAAGGGGGAAGATACCTACCTTGTGAGCATAGTCGCAAACATCAATCTGACTCTAGAACAAGAGATATCGACGGGCATACAATACGTCGTACCCGATCAACCCATCATTGATAGCAGGACAGTCGTTTCTAGGGCGTCTACCGGGTCTGGGTGAAACGAAGCACTTCCCCCCGCCGCGCAAAAGAACTACACGGCCAGCGCATAGCTGAAGTAACAAAGAGAGGGAGACGTCGCTGCCATGATGGCAACGGATCCCATACATGATCTGGACAATGTCTTTGATGACCATCCGTCCCTCGACGCCTCGCTAGAAGACTTTGAAGAACAGTACGCGCACCGGTCGCCGTTCTTCGGTCTTCCGTCGCAACATTCCGGCTTCCGCTCGGGTATTTCAGAGGCTTCTCCATCTGAGCAAGATGGGAACATCTCTCGGTCAAGCAGCCCATGGTCTCCGCCTGGTCTACGGGCCACATTCACCAGGCCAGAATATCAAACGCCCAAACAGCATTCAGCTCTAGGGTATCACCCAGCAATGATGGCTGGCGCAGCATGGTACAGACAGCAGCCGTACATGCGTAACCAGCCCGACTTCAAACCAGAGCATTTGCAACCACACAGCCCTGGGACACGGTCCAGGGAAGTCAGTCCGCAGTATGAGGATGCGCCTGAGAAGCCGACATCGACGACCACAGCAACAGTGACGCTGAAGGAAGAGACAAGTGAACTAATATTACCAGCTACCATACCACTGCCCCAGGGAACAGATTCACCGGTCAAAGGCCGTTCTCCAAGTCCGTCTCCAGAAAGCAGAACAGAAGCAGCCCCAAAGGCGGCAGCAACTTCAACTATAGAAGCGGACGAGAGGAACAAAGGTGATAAACACGAGTTCAAGGCAGTCTCTGACTGCAAACCGGAGAAAGAGCCTGAGTCGATTACGAATTGTAAGATGGCTTGCTTTTTTCCAGAATTTACTTGGAACCATGACTTATTGACCGTCTAGATATCCGATTTGCAGTCCGCGCTGAAGTCCAACATCGCGAACCCTTTGTCGCATTCTTCAACTACATGGGAGCAAAGTTCGATTCGATGACACAGACCAGATCGTCGACATTACTCTCCGTGGCGGTTGCGCTGATATCACTTACATTCATGCGGGCATTATTTTTGCCGCCGCCGCTGCCACCTGTGCCAGACATTGTCAAGTTATCCAGCTTCACAAGGTCATTTGAGCCGCTGATATATTATTCAGAGAATGGTGTGCAACAGATTGGGACGTTGCAGGAGACTGGGGTTGCAGTATGGGACCTGGCTGAGTCCGTACGGGGAACAAACATGACAAGTGCCCCGATCATAGTGAGAGAACTAGACGAGCTGTCTCAATCGCTGAACTCGCTCTCGCTGGAGCTCACGCGGTTCTTCGCCAATGTCGACGCAGACATTGATTCCATTCTAATCGTAATGGAATGGGCACGAAGAGAGCTCGAAGCACTCTCATCTCAACCACCCAATACCCTATCGTCGATATTCTTCGATAATTTCCACAACATGCTGTCACGTCTGGGTGTGCTTGAAACACTACCAACCAGCCTATCGGCCAATGCAAGCCACGGGCTCAGCAACGAAACAATGGCCGACATGCCCGTTGCACCCATCCCCACACGTCTGGGCTCGTTGATAACGGCACTATTCGGCCGCACCCGTTCACAGCGCACCCAGCTAACACTAACCCACGCCTTCACCGAGCTGCTCTCGGTGCTTGAAGAAAGCATAAACAACGAACTAACCCACTCCACCTCCCTTTTCACCCTCTTCGAGTCCATAGACAGACAATTCCTCAACCTGCAGCGCACCGTTGTTCGAGAATCCAATGCCCAAGAGCGCGCCGAGGGAGAACTGCTTTCATCCCTATGGACTCGCGTCCTGGGCTCTAATGCGATGGCACTGCGCAAATATGAGAAAAACCGACGCCTGCTTTCCTCTGTGCGCCAGCGGACCGTCGCCAACAAGCATTTACTCATGGACCACCGAGGCAGACTCCTCGCACTGAAAGCAAACCTCGAAGCCCTCCGGCGCAAGCTTGTCAGCCCCCTTCTCAGAGGCGGCAATAGTTCAATGGGCATGACGCTTGGTCCGTTGGTGGGGATAAGTACCACCTCCGCACATGGCAGTGGTGTCGGAGGCTCAGGTGAAGATGCAGTTGGCGGAGAGAATGCGATGGAGATGATTATCCATGGACAGATAAAGGGGCTGGATGGAGCGCACGATTACCTTAAGGAAGTCAGGGATAAGCAGAAAGCTAAGTTGATGGAGATGGTGTATGGCGCTGGTCGACGAGTTGGAGGGAATGCGCTGGTTGATGGCGATGCAGACGGGGAGGGCGAAGGCGAGAAGGCTGACATCGAGGACATGGAAGAGAAGTGAGAGAAAAAAAAGTCCCTTATTGCCTCTATATGTAATACTCTGAATATCTTGCATGGGATGGTCGACCCCCGGACGGACTGCCACGGCGTTTTTGATAGGCGTGTTAGGGAGGAATACAAGGTGAGTAACTGTTCATGCTGGAGTAGATGTATACTAACAACGGGGCACAGATTGTTTGAATTCTTTC